TATCGTGCTGTGATGACGTCAGCTACGCGGTTTCGTCGAGCGCCCTTTAGTCGAACGCGGTTTTGTGGTGGAACCGTTCTTAGCATAACAATGTCACAATGCTAATCTGGGATTCATCTTCCAGAATCTAATTTAGACTGGAGTCACAAATGTTTTGGCAATAAGGCCTATTGAACATAGTGACATTCCTGAGTAGAGCCTAAAATACACATCTGATTATGCAGTTCATTCAGTATTTGGTTTTGTAATAATGATCAGTCAGATGTTTGTAAGAATTCTCCTCTGCAGAGGAATAGTTCTTTCATTCATTAAAACGAACTGTTGATGTCTCCATAACTGTGTGCATGTTTATGTTGTACAGTGATAGGAATACCTGGAAATCTAATATAATCCTCTTTTTGAGAACTGAAAGAAGCCTGCAGAGGAACCATGGCAGCAAAATTGAATAGTGCTGTGAAAAAAGGTGATCTTAAGCTTGTTCAACAGCTGTTGGAAGATGGAGCAGATATTAATGCAAAGGTGGAATGTGGCTGGACACCTCTTCATAGTGCAGTACAAAGAAAGTCTGAAGAGATTGTTAACTTTCTACTGGAAAATGGGGCTGATCCATTAGCTAGGAAGGATAATGGTGCCACACCTTTTATTTTAGCAGGAGTGATAGGTAATGTGAAGCTTTTGAAACTTTTTCTTGATAAAGGCTCATGCATTAATGAGTATGACATCAATGGCTTCACCGCATTCATGGAGGCTGCTTGTTATGGGCACAAGGAGGCCCTGGAATTTTTATATCAGAATGGGGCGGATCCAAATCAGCGCCGTGAAGTTGATGAGATTAAAAAGGCTGTGAAAAAAGGAGGTGCCACAGCTCTAATGGATGCTGCCAGTCATGGCCATTTTGCTCTGGTCAAAATCTTGGTCGAGGAAATGGGTGCTGATGTAAATATCTGTGACAATCAAGATGGAAATGCATTGATTCATGCTCTCTCTGAGGACAAAGGCAGAAAAGGCAGAGAAGACTCGGCCCTTTTCCTTTTGAAAAACAAAATTGATGCCAATAAGAGGGATGTAAATGGGAAAACGGTGCTCATATTGGCTGTTGAAAGAGAAAGCTTGGATCTTGTGGAGGCCATATTAAAATTAGATGAAGTTGATCTTGATGATGCTGATGAAAATAACGAAACAGCATTGCATGTAGCAGTGGAGAAGAAAAACAAAGACATATCAAAGCTACTATGTGAAAAAGGAGCAAGAGTAGATGATGATGTCCTGGATATTGCCCGTAGAAATTACCAAACTGATATGATAGAACTTCTTCAGAAATATCAATCGGAGGACACTCCAAGGCAGCCAGAAATATATAAGGAATTCTCTAGCAATCGTTGGAAATCAAAACTCCAGAAACTCAATCAAATGCATCGTCCTATGATTGGCAAGCTCAAGATCTTTCAATATCAAGATTTATGGATCCAGAAGACCACCCAAGGAGGGGTCTACCTGGGATTCTATGATGGCAAAGAGGTGGCTGTGAAGGTATTCTGGAAGGCGGCAGAAAATGCCAAGCGAGAAAAAGCGTGCCTCGAAAAATGCCAAACCAGCAAATACCTGGTGAAATTTTGTGGCTCGGAAGAGAGGAAGTCCTGCCTCTACCTGTGCCTCTCCTTGTGCGAAAAGAATCTTCAAGAGTACTTCAAGGAAGAGAGCAACGCAACTATGGAAAGCAAGAAGATCCTTAAAATAATATTTGAGGCTGTAAACGAACTTCATGCATTTCGATTTGGCCATCAGGAATTACACCCAAGTAACATTTTGATAGGTTGGTTCATTCTTTGGCATTTATTCCAGAGTAATCCATTTAAACTTTATGGGCTATATACGGAACAGCAGATTCACAATATTTTTTTTTATTGGTTATACATTTTTTAAAAAAATAAGACATACAAATACAAATACAACTTTAAACATACAACCCCCTCCCCCCCCCCCCCCGTGGTGACAGTCATTCACAGCCCAACATTCTTTTCTTCATCATTGTTTAGTCTTTAACCAGCATCTTCTTGTTAAAAAAATTCAGGGATCTATTACAATACCCACATTCACTTTTAGTTCCCATTGTTAAC